TAAATGACTCATTGTTGCTGTGTCTGTAGGCTGCAGTGATCAAGCAGGACTCATTCCTGGAGGTGTACATGCAGAAGGACTTGTGTCCCACTATAGCAGCAGTGCCGGAGACAGGTGGTCCTGAGGGTACTCAAGGAGATCTGGCAGAGCTACAGCGCAAGTACAACCTCCTGCAAGGAGAAGTGATCCGACTGCGGGCCACCCAGGACAAGACGGGCGATAGAGCACCAATTCAGCTTGAAAAACAACTCCAAGAGCTACGGCTTAAAGACACAATGGACACAGGTGACACGTTGATCTCACAGGAAACAGCAGTTCAGGTGGATGGCATGCAAGAGGACAGTCCCAGAGGTGAGTGCAGTTCTCAGTCATGTAGTGTTCCTTTCCTTTTTCTCCCCTCAATTGCTGTATCTCCTGCTGTATCTTACTATCTATTACTATAGGAACATGTAATGTCCTGCCTCTCTTTCTTGGTTCTTGTCCATGTCTTTGCAGTGAAGATAGGTGCAGGTGTTCTGCAAATGAAAGTGAATCTATTAAAATTTATCAACAGCTATAATTCCATCCACATATTTTTATGCAGCATTCATTCATAAATAAATACATATATAAAATCAAAAACATTAAATATTTTATTTGTTTACTAGCAATGGTCATGTGACTATTAAAGGAAAAGTTAACTCAAAAAATAAAATCTGCTGCAGTGAATGGGTGCCATCAGAAATGAGAGTTCGAATTGCTGATAAAAACACAATAATCCACACGACTCCAGTCCATCATTAACATTTTGTGAAGTGAAAGGCTTTATGTTTGTAATAAACAAATCCATCATTTAGGTGTCTTTAACTTCAAAGATGTTGCTTCTGGTCCATAATCCATAATGTTGGTTTCTCCAGTGAAAAAGTCATCTTGTCTGAATCAGGAGAGGAATATGCAAAGATCAAGCATGGCCTTTTTCACTGAAAGAATCATTACATTTACATTTAGTCATTTAGCAGACACTTTTATCCAAAGCGACTTACAAATTAGGACAACATTATTATGGATTATGGACTCCAGAAGTGACGGTTTACAGTTAAAATTCCTTAATTATTTGTTTCTTACAAATACCAAAATTTCACATTACAAGATATTAATTGATGCACTGGAGTGGTGTGGATTATTGTGATGTTTTTATCAGCTGTTTGGACTCTCATTCTGACGGCACCCATTCACTGCAGAGGAGCCATTGGCGAGCAAGTGATGGAATGATACATTTTTATAAATCTGTTATGATAAGAAAACAAACTCACCTGCATCTTGGATGGCCTGAGACTAAGTGTTTTCAGCAAATTTTCATTTTTGATTATTTTAGAATTTTATGATACTTTTGCAGCAGTTTCCCAGAAACTAAAATCTTCATTCACAACTTTGGATGAAAACATAGCGAATGTACGGTGGCTGAGAAGTGCAAAACAAATCACAATTCTGAAAACAAAATAACAAATTACAAACGCAAATGCAAATCTAAAAAACAAAATAACAATTCAGAAAACACAACAACAATTCAGAAAACATTATAACAAGTCAAAAAACACAACGACAAATCCGAAAACAAAATACCAAGTCAGAAAACACAACGACAAATCTGAAAACAAAATACCAAGTCAGAAAACACAACGACAAATCTGAAAACAAAATACCAAGTCAGAAAACACAACGACAAATCCGAAAACAAAATACCAAGTCAAAACAAAAATTTGTCATTGTTTTCTGACTTGTTATTTTGTTTTCGGAATTGTTATTTTGTTTTTTAGATTTGCATTTGCGTTTGTAATTTGTTATTTTGTTTTCAGAATTGTGATTTGTTTTGCACTTCTCAGCCACCGTACGAATGAGAATTATATACTTATTAACTAAAAACAAAAACACAATTTGCCTAATTTTGTCACAATGATCAAAATGTTTTTATGAGATTCACCCTAATATTTAACCATGAATTTTTTTTCCTCTGGTCTCCATCATATTGCATATTGAATCATACCTCACAAACACGCACTGCTTTGTCTGGTTTTCAGATCTGCAGGATATTCCAGAGGAGAGCGAGTGTGGGACTGAAGCTCACAGTTAACATCAGCTCAACTAGAAGATCCTACCTTAACCTCCTCCAAAACTCTAGAAACTCGCCTCAGCAGTCATTTATGACTTGAGGCCTTGTTCACACCACGCCAAATACCGAAAAATCTGCTGCGGTTGAATTCAATTTGAAAGAACTGCTGTTAATGCATCCGTCACTAACACTTACATGCTGGCAATGTGACTTTTTTTTTTTTTTTTTACGAATAGGGAATGTAATTCTCAGCCGTTGGTGTTTCATGCAACTATGACTCCGTGGTGTTCATGAACAGATTGTTTTGCTGAACACCAGTGAATAGCAGAGGAAGAAGTCTGAATCTTGTCTCTGTATTCTTGTATTTGGTGTTGTTTGATATACACCATAGTGAGGGCTATTTGAAAACATGTAAATACAGTTTTAATTTCCTTTCCTCTCTGTGAAAAACAGGTGTCTCAAACGGCACAACACTTTGTGTACAGGGTATTTCTGCTTTTTCTATAAGGGTCTCCTTCTCTCAGAGAGTGCTTTAGCATTTTCGTTCAGCCCTGCCATTTTTTACGCATTGGTTTGAACAGACAAAATGCAAAAAATTGACCAAATTTGTGTTGGTGTGAACTGGCCTTTACTCTGTAGAATAATGTTATTGCATTTTATATTAAACATAGTATAGAACAATTAAAGCAGCACTATGTAACTTTTTCACAATTTGCAAAATGTACATCATGAATTCATCTTCCAAACCGCGTTTTTGTCTTAAACACTTATAAATACTTATATTTGGACTATTGTAGCCTGGTCGGGTTGTCACCGCTGCGGAGTAACACATACCTGCGTGAATCGCCATAGACATAAACTTAGAGAAGTAGCTCTATGTGTGCAGTTCTGTTTATTAACCTCTAGAGCGCCAAAAGTTACATAGTGCTGCTTTAAGTCTTTTTCAAGATTTTCAATGTTTTTGCAAACATTGTCTACATTTTACAGTTGTGTTATTTAAAAGGTTAAAGGTGTATTTTTGATTTTTGTTTTGGAACTTAAGGAAACTTTAGAGGATATTCTGCGCTCGTGCTGACTTCCAGTTTTAATATATATCGATTGTCAATTTTAGCTGCATCATTGTCCTTTGCTATATTATTGGAAGGATGTGTCATTGGACATGATTTTCTTCTGCTGAAAATAAGTGATATTATGGTAAAGATGAAATGTAGCACATTGAATGCCCTGCAGCTTGAAAAAGACTTTGAATGCAGTTATAACTACCACAGTTTACCTCTATAAATGGTAATAAATGTTATGAAGAGTGGAGGTTTTCTTCTGTACTGCAAAAAAAAGAAAGAAAATTAGATATTAATGTTGATATTGATAATGGAATGAAGTGGAAAATGATTGTAAATTCTTCTCTGGCCACTTGAAATCACACTAAAGCTTTGTTTAATGTCACACTGTTGATATTGTCTATGTATAAATGTTTGAGGAAGAACAGCACCCTTTAAACATAGCTGTTAAATCATTGCATTTTTATTCATTTTTCACTGTGCTGTGTGTTTAAATATATGGCTGTAATCATGTTTTGTCATCTATATAAATGCATTGATAACTGCTTTACTCTATTTCTTTAATTACACAACATATTAACATTTGTGAGCACAAAAGCAGTCTTAAGTCGCTGGGGTATATTTGTAGCAATAGCCAAAAAATACATTGTATGGGTCAAAATTATTGATTTTTCTTTTATGCCAAAAATCATTGGGATATTAAGTAAAGATCATGTTCCAAAAAACTTAATTTTTGATTAGGAATATGCATTGCTAAAAACTTAATTTGGACAACTTTAAAGGTGATTTTCTCAGTATTTTGATTTTTTTTTTTGCACCCTCAGATTCCAGATTTTCAAATAGTTGTATCTCGTCCAAATATTGTCCAATCCTAACAAACCATACATCAATGGAAAGACCCTTCAAAAAAAATTTGTGGTCCAGGGTCACATTTGAACATTTTCCATCTCACACTTCAACCCTACAAAGAACTAATCAAGAGACAATAACATTATATTTCATTCAGTATATATTTGGAAGTGAATTCGATTTCAAATGGTTGGGGTTCTAATAGGAGCAGTGTGTTCTGAACACTGAAAAGTCACAACATTGAGAGCTTATTTTGATTTTTTTTTTTGCACCCTCAGATTCCAGATTTTCAAATAGTTGTATCTCGGCCAAATTTGTCCTATCCTAACAAAACATACAGTAAATCAATGGAAAGCTTATTTATTAAGATGATGTATAAATCCCCTTCAAAAAAAAATTTGTGGTCCAGGGTCACATTTGAACATTTTCCATCTCACACTTCAACCCTACAAAGAACTAATCAAGAGACAATAACATTATATTTCATTCAGTATATATTTGGAAGTGAATTCGATTTCAAATGGTTGGGGTTCTAATAGGAGCAGTGTGTTCTGAACACTGAAAAGTCACAACATTGAGAGCTCGTGAGAGCTGCAAGTGATTCGACCACACCATCTTTACAAACACATCCTCCAAGACATGGCAGCAAAACATTGTGTTCCACTTGGTGTGCACAGATATCTGGCCTGATGCAACACATGGCAGGTAGACATTGTGTCCACCTTTATTGGATTGTATTTAAGAGATGCCAAATGCCTTATTTGAAATGAAAATGAAAATGAGAGAAGACAGCTGCAGTAAAAAAAAGAGCTGTCAAGACTTTTAATATTGCTCCTGCAAAACAGTACAATTTTGTTTAATTAAATCAATTAATATTTTATACAGAAAACACCAAATATACATATAATACAGAACAGTTTTTTTTATCATTATTCTTCAGCAAAAAATATATATAAAAACAAAGCAGAGAATGATCCTTTTTGTTAAAAAAGTAAATAAGACACTTTTTGGAAAGCTGAGTAAATGATGACTAACCATTCATTAAAATGCTGAAGAGTTTGCAAGCTCTCCAGTCAGCAGGATACAGGTGGCAAAAAAGCAACTTTTATTAATCCAGTTTAATACTATTTTGTGTGTTCGAGTCCTCCCGTGCCTTGATCAATGCCAGTAGCCCCTCCAGCTGTTCCTCCAGAACGTCATCAGCTCCATCGTTCCTGATGATCCAGTCAAACTTCACACCCTCATCCAAACCACACTCGGACTCAGCGTCGTCTACACCTGGACAGGTACACAGTCACACCATTACCACAATCCCCACAACTCTGTTATATTTAAAAGTGAAAAAGTGACGTGAGGCCAAGTATGGTTACTCATACTCGGAATTAGTGCTCTGCATTTAACCCATCCTTAGTGCACACACACACACACATTATGATCCTGATATTCCGAAATACATCAGTTTCTGTTAAAGTTTACATGTACTGTAGAACAAAAACCATTTCCATTTCAGAGCACAGACAGAATGGTATTTTAGGGGATTCACCTCAACATTTAAATGCATTTAAAGTATGTGAACCCATTGGAATTGGTGGTATTTTCAGCATTAATAGGTAAAAAGAAAAAAAATGTTTTTCTATACTTTGATGAAGATCAGATGATATATTAAGACCATTTAATGCAGAACACTAACCAATTTCAATGTGTTTTATACCTGTCCTTGCCACTGTGTACTATATATACTATAAGAGTAACTTCTGTCAAACTGTACTAATCAGTCATTGTGAATGAGCTTGCTGAATGGTATGCTAAACATTTGTGAAAATTGTGTTAAAACAAAATCTAGTGTTAAATAAGGTCACATTATTCTCATCACCCCTCAACTATAGGGAAACATGAAGGGGTCACAGGTTATTTACAGCAGTTTAGATGAGAAGAAGATTCAGTTTTTAAAGCAAACATAGCCTAGCTGGTGTCTATGAATGCATTTCAAATCTGTGCCTGATTGAGATGCACCAATATATATATATTTCCAATACAATAAACATTCTGATATATTTGTGACCTAAATGTCCAAACTATATGCAAATATTTTTTGAGGCCACAGTATCTTTTGCAAATTAGATGTGCTGATTTGAGATCACAAGGGCAAAAAGAAGACAAAAGTCAATAATCTACAGTCTGTAGTGAGGAGTCTCTTTAGGAAGCTTGTAACTCAATTGTCTGCTCACATTTCTTTTACATCTTACTAAGACATTATTGAGAGCTATAGAGTGACAACTGAAGTTTATCATACTATATGGGCTATTAAAGCCTGAGGTATCATAAATGATACAAAATAGAAAACCCATACGCAAACGTTTTTCTTTAGAAGTTTTGATATTTTGTCTAAAGGTTCAGTAAGTGTTTCTTTAAAGGGGTCATAGGCTCATAGGACGCCCATTTTCCACAAGTTGATATGATTCTTTAGGGTCTTAATGAAAAGTCTGTAACATAGTTTGCTTAAAATTTCGCAATGGTAGTGTAAAAAATACCTTTTTTACCCTGTCAAAAAAAGCCGTTTTTGTAGCATTTCCCTTGAAATGTTAATGAGCTCTACTGACCCCGCCCCTCTCTTCCGAGCTGCTCTGTTTACTTTAGCCGCATTCGTCGTGAAACTTGCTAATTAGCACATTATTAGGAAAGGCGATTTGCAAAGATTCATTACAAAACATTATACTCACTTTTTCCATAGATGAGGCTGCATCACGAATGATTCGCGCAAACATAGACGCATTTATGTAGATCGTGGGCGCATTCCCTTCAGAAACAATGTAATGAAACGACTGCTATGTTCATTATTACATCCAACAACAGAAGACCTCAATCGCTTAGGAGTCATTCTTGTCTACATCTGCTCCGGCGGTGAAACAATGGTGGACTGATGACAGTCACTCAGGGCGGAGCTAAGGTAAGATGCCAGTCCAGTCTGTGCTGAAACACTACTGTCAATCAAACTATTGTGGGAGGGGCCTGTCTGTGTGACGTCACACAGACAGGCATCTGAGATCAGCTCGATTCGAGAAAGGGGAAAACATTAAACCAGATTTTTTTTTAAAAACACCGGGTGGATTTTTATCATTATGGGGTGGTTGTGTACACACACTGCCAACACACATTTCAGTTCAAACAACTTGTAAAAGTGCATGTAGCATCCTATGACCCCTTTAAACAAATCTGGCTATAATTTCACATGTCCGGCTTTACAGGGTTAAAACAGCTAAGACAGCAGTTGTATACTGTACTGTACCTTAGCATACTGCTGTTTGAGAGGTGCAGACAGTCTGAGTATACAGCATATCTCTGCTGTCAGTCTGTAATTTACAATAAGAGCATATATTATATTCATTCATGCATTTCATCTATTCCCCCAACAGTGTTACATAAAACTCGAGATCTCACCTTTTCTGTATTAAATCTGTCACATAGTCCTTCCCTGACTTTCGCTTCCCGCTGAATAACAGAATGATCCGTGGTGGTGTAGGCGTCATGGTTGTGACTGCATGGAAAGTGTTCCACATTCATATACAAAATGTTCAGTATGACCGCTATTGAAACAGGCCGATTTACCGTAATGAGCCGACACAAAGCAGCCATGAAAAATATACATAAACACCGCTTTGATCCTGCTGTTTTAGTTTTTCTTAACCAGATATTTTTTTGTTTATTCATGTGCTTTTAGGCATTAATACAGTATGCGATTTTTGTTTTCACTTAAAGAAGGTGTAAGTGTACGTGTTTAAAGGTCTGAGTGCGTGCTGCTTGGTGCTTTGTGTGTTTACGGTAATCGGACTAGCGTCACGCCATCAACTTACGGGGTATGTGTTCAACATGTTTATTCAATTTGATAAAATACTGTATTTAAATAGCATCATAGGTTGCTAAATAAAACTGTAATCGTATTTTGCTCTCGCATTTATTAATCACTTTTTTATTGACATCACTGAACCGGAAGTCAAACGACAAAGCGGTTTTTTTCTGGATTTCGTTCTTATTTTCATCCCCTACTTTTGCTTATGAGGACAAACAAACGTGCAGATTATTTACCTGTAATTGTGCTAACACGCGATCTTAATATGCTGTTTACTCACAATTGATTTATTTCGCGTTTCGCTTACTTCGAAATATGAACAGCTCACTTGTAACTCAACTGTCTGCTCACATTTCTTTCTGCCAGCACAATTTGAACATCTTCAGTTAGTATATAAAGCATTTAAAAAACATCTTACTAAGACATTATTGAGAGATATAGAGTGACAACTGAAGTTTATCATACTATATGGGCTATTAAAGCCTGAGGTATCATAAATGATACAAAATAGAAAACCCATACGCAAACGTTTTTCTTTAGAAGTTTTGATATTTTGTCTAAAGGTTCAGTAAGTGTTTCTTTAAAGGGGTCATAGGATCATAGGACGCCCATTTTCCACAAGTTGATATGATTCTTTAGGGTCTTAATGAAAAGTCTGTAACATAGTTTGCTTAAAATTTCGCAATGGTAGTGTAAAAAATACCTTTTTTACCCTGTCAAAAAAAGCCGTTTTTGTAGCATTTCCCTTGAAATGTTAATGAGCTCTGCTGAAGTCGAACATAAAAAAACACATCCTGAAGTTACCTCCGTATAAAAATCTGCTCGCGTTGCTTCCTATTGAAATGGTTGGATTTCGCCAACGAAAATTCGCAAAACAATGGTAAATGTGATGGGGCCTAACACATTGTTGTTGTGTATTTGATTTGAGAGATTGAGATCAATTTGAAATTGAGAGATGAGTGTGGAGTATTTTGTTATAATTCACAACAGGCCAGATGCTGTTGATTGAACTTGTATTCAATTCTTATTACTTGTATTAAAGTGCCATTCCCAGTATGGCTACAAACTATATGCTGGACTATATAAATGCTGCACATCATCAGAAGGTAACTTAGTGGAATGACAACATACTGAACCCTGATGCATTGAAAACATGCTGACGAATGGAAGGTTCTCTTGATAATTGCTTTGGATTTAAAGATGGCATTGTGCAACTACAACCCATAGCCAGATCACGCATAACATCCTACATAGGTCATAAATGCACAAATGCTTTCACAGTCTAAAATACCCATTCCTAATGGTTTAATGTTCCACCTGAATAGGTAATTAAAAAAAAAAAAAGAGGGAAAGAAGCATGACTCCGGAATGCTACAGTTTCCCCAGTACACTGTATTTTATTCAGAATCAGGGTCGGAAATGCCACCAGAATGAACATGCCCTCTAAATTCAAGATAAGGGCATGTGCAATTGAAATGTGTCATGATTAAACTGAGATGTGAAATAAATGAAAAGTGTAGACTGTGGCATTTATTTTAATTTTTTTATTTTTACCATTCACATTACAATCAATATCCAAGACAGTAATGACTTATATGATCCACCTGTCAACCCTATTGGCAAAGGGCATCTCAGGAACCGCACTCCAGTGATTTGAGTCTTACCTATCAGATAGGTCCTTCAAAGTATCTTGGAGAGGTGAGGTGTCCAAGTCGCAACATCTAACTACTGGGGTGCCTCAGGGCTCAGTTCTTGGACCACTTCTCTTCTCTGTCTACATGGCATCATTAGGTTCTGTCATTCAGAAACATGGCTTTTGATACCACTGCTATGCTGATGACACTCAACTCTACCTCTCATTCCATCCTGATTATCCAACGATAGCTGCTCGCATCTCAGCTTGTCTAACAGACATTTCTTGCTGGATGAAGGACCATCACCTTCAACTCAACCTCACCAAGACAGAACTGCTTGTGGTTCCAGCAAACCCATCGTTTCATCACAATTTCACCATCCAGTTAGGCTCATCAACCATAACTCCTTCAAAAACAGCCAGAAACCTTGGAGTTATGATTGATGACCAGCTTACTTTATCAGACCACATTGCTAAAACTGTCCGGTCCTGCAGATTTACTTTATTCAACATCAAGAAGGTCAGGCCCTTTCTTTTGGAACATGCTTCACAAATCTAGTACGAACGCGAACGCGGCAGCAGGATAAATTTTTAATCTCTTGGCGGGCCACTTCTATCAAACCTCTGCAACTAATCCAGAACGCGGCAGCAAGATTGATTTTTAATGAGCCAAAAAGCCAAAAAGACACACCACTGTTTATCAATTTGCACTGGCTACCAATAGCT